TTATAGTAAATTAATTAATACAATGAAAATTTGTTGGAAGCCAACGGAAAGAAAATCAATAAATTAATCAAAAGATTGATCTCTTCGTATTATATTGTTTTTGAAGAATTAATATTCCATCATAAGTAACATTTTAAACAACGGTGGAAAGAGGTTAGCAGTGGGATCCAGTACGTGAGTTTCGTCCTATTCGGGGCTCATCAGCTCGATGTACCTGCATCTCACAGTTGGTGTTCATTATGGGACTCGAAACTAGCATCGTCAACCTCAAACGCTTACTCGTTATCCACGTAGCTACTGAGTCCCCATTGTCACCTGCTTGTGCAATATGGTGGAGTTTAAATTCAACTGTATCTTCCCAATGTTATTTAGGACTTTAATTGATCGGTCTCGTGTTGGTATATATGCATTCGAGTCCTGGAGTGAACATCAACTCTGGGATGCAGGTACATCCAGCTGACGAGTCCCAAATAGAACGAAATGCACATCCTGGATTCCACTGCTAGTCACCATCTATCTTTACTTAAAAAGCTTGTGACTTAAAGCTATATCGATGCAATCCACACAGAATACACAAATGCCAATGAGTGACTGATCGATTGTAGTCCTAAATAACAATGGGAAGATACAAGTAAAACAACACCAAATGAATATAAGTAACATTCTTTTATCATTAGAAAATTATGAAAAACATTTTCTATGACACAATGTTGTTGTAGAATTTATTTTGTTAAATAAATAAGTAATTTTATAGTTATATGATATGCCCTTGTAGGCCAGGGTAATTTTACATTGGTTTTCAGGAGAACAAGACACTATCCAGACTTTCACGTGACAACCCAAAGAGTACGGTTCAATCCCGTTTCCAGGAGAACCAGACACCATTCAGGCTTAAATTTTATAACCCGAGCAGCACAACTCAATCCCGCTTCACAGAAGAAGCAGACACCATATAGGCCTTAACGCTACAATCTGAATAGTACAGCTCAATCCTGTGGCCCAACCACACAGGTATCAAGCACCCTGGTGGATAAAAATAAATTCGTATTCATATTAAACTATCATGATTTTAAAAAGAATTTCTTATAATCATTTCGTATCAAAATTAATTAACGAAAAGAAAAATAAAGAAGAAATAACAGAAATTTGATCTCTTTTTTCGAAGATTGTCCTATAGGATCCAATGAATAAAGTATTTAGAATTAGTTGTAATGTATATTGTCAAATATTTTCCCATTTATTCTCAAAGTTTGGAAATTGCATGGTCGGATAACAGAAAAATTTGATAATTACGTGTTTTAAATTTTGAAATATGTAGTACATCGTTAAAGAAACAGCATAACAGATTGTACTTTATTATTGAATAAAGTTATTATTTTATAATTAATTTACTCAGAATAGTAGTTACTAAAGTGATTTTATGAAAATAATTTTAAGATAAAGTGATATTTGTTGACATAAACTGAAATCTGGGTCCAGGGTTTCCTGTCTACTACCTTTAACCACTATCCAATTCATAATTCTAATTCCTCACACTGATTTATAACCATCATTTAGTTCTAGTTAATAGGTGGACATTCTCAAGGTCGATTTAACGTCGCTCAAAGATCGTCCATAAATTATAGTTTCACCGGGGCAAAACTACTTTTCAGGAATGATTTATAATTCTATAATTTATGTTACCTCTTTTAACGGATTGCTAATATATATTGTGATCCTCATTCAAAACGATCAGTGAGTTACTTAGCCACTTATTTGTTTAACTCCACAGGTCATAAGTTTTTATTGGAACTTCAAAAAATCCATATTAGCTAGCCATTAATAAACAAATATCTTGTAGAGATAGTAAATCATTTCTAAATCCATGCTTTATAAGAACATGAAGATGATGAATAAAGTTATAAGGAAATGAGTATCAGAAAAACTTGGTGGCTGCTAAAGTAATGTTAATTTCATGCTAGATGATGACGGGCTTCATAATACTTAAACCACTAGTATGAATCTCGTAAAATTCAAGTTCCCTTCTCATTGTAATATTTTGAAGAAAAAAGGAAACTCAATCCGTTGATCACATTTTAGATTAACTAAGGAATAATTAGCTCCGTACGCTAGCCAGTTCAAGCCGATTTCAAATGAAATGGAAGGTACGAGATGAAGGGTTAGTGTGATACAACAAAATCAGAGAACAATCGTTAAGAAAAATTCGACATACCATATGACTCATTGATAAAGTATCAATACAACCTGACTACCAATTAGGTCATGTGCCTCAGAAGGGTACTGGTCCTAATTTCGACATGATAACAGTTTGATCTAATATCTTAGATAAGAAGAAAAGTGTCGGTAAACATAGAAGTAGACAACGATTCTAAACTAGAACGTTAGAAGTAATAAATTGCTATGTTTTACAATCATCCGTTTATGATATTAATGTACAAGCTTGCTATATGCATACTCAAAGAAGGTACCTGAATGAGAAAACCAAGAAGAGTAGGTAGTTTTTATTGACTGAGCCGAGAATATATTCACAATTCATTAATAGATGTGGATACATTTCCCTCAGAAAATAAAACCACATTTCAACCAGTTGTGTATGTCTATTTAATAAGAAAGTGAACCCAATTTTTGATCAATAGCGTGGACCATTTATCATTTGGAGTTCGTTTCACTTGCCCACTATATCATAAATTCAAATTTCTCAACTTATATTTCATTAGCTATGAAACTTTTTTTTAATTTACAACACATTTTATCTGATCACTTATTTAAAAACAGTTCCAACATACTACTGAAATACAACTAGACTATTTCAAGAGTTAATTCAGTACATGACATCTTTCAACAGAAGCATTTAGCTCAGTTTTTTTAGTGGAAAAGCAGATCAATAAAATCTATCAAAACTACAAAACCTACTTTGTTTGAGGAAGGCCAATAAGCATGAAATACGATACTCAGATTATCAATTTTATCATCATGATATTACAATTGTACAAAATAGACAGCTTATGATAAAACAATGGCAAAAATTAAATTTTATAATTGAACCTCAGTTTCATTAACTAACGAATAATCTGCAAAATCCTTCTATGTTACAATCAATTTATTCAAAATGATTTTGAATATTGTTCATTTTTATATCCATGTTACTTCGCAGTCAGATACCCTATTTTTTGATGTTTGTAGATAGATATTAGCCAGCAAGAAAATAAAACAGTCAATCCGTAATTGTCAAATTAAAATGATTAAAACATAATTTATCGTTTACTAGACCTTGTTTGGACGTTTCTATAGAACGCTGGCTTTTCGAAGTATTTGAAGAAAAATTTCAGCTTCTGAAAGCCCTCACGAAGAATTATCGAGGGTCCTTAACATTGAGAAGCTGATGTATTTTAATATTATAATAAATAATACATGAAGGTTGAAATCCCCTAGTGATCATTCATTCTCATAAGATTTTATATCGCCCCTGTCAAAAGAATAAACTAATATAAAACCTATATTCAAGTTTCCTGTAGAATAATTAATTGTGCAAGTAACTTAATGATCAACATTCAGAATATAATACCACAGTTTTATAGATAAATACTAGTAGGAGTGTTAGGAGCTCACGAGAATTCCTCGAAAGAGTTTTCAGAAGCTACAAAGAGCTTAAAATCCTTCATTTGATTGAAACTTTCCAAAGAGCTCTAGAAAAACAATGAGTTATTTATTAGATCTTTATAGTATAATTATCAATTTTTTCACTAATTTTAGCATACTTTTAGAAGCTTACAGAATATCAGGGTCACCTACAAACCGATAAATATCCTTGTCTTCCATACTTAAACTAACCTTGGAGGTTAAGCATCTTTCTACAGTTTCGGGGCTAAAGTGTGGGAGATTTATGGGGAAATAATAAGCAACTGGAAAGTCAGTATCAAGTTTTTCAAAAACAGATCTATAAAAGAGGAACTTATACGAACACTGTTAACAACTTGAGATTACTTGAAACACTTGCATGTGTAGTGTTATTTACTCTCATAACTCAATATTTCCAACAAATAAGTGAATTAAAAGAAATCTCCTTATTAAAAAATTAGACTAAAGTTTTAACACCTTAAAACTCTGAAACTCTAAATGTAAGAAAATGCCTAGAGAAATCAAAATGAATGTGGAGAATATGAGTACATGAATAAAAAACAAACAAGTATACAATCAGTTTTTATTTATTTTTTGCAACCGAAGTTGGCAAGACGACTAAATAGATTGGGGTTATTTATTACTTATATATTTGAAATAGTTATAACTTTAATGAACACTGTATAAGGTTTTATGTTACATGGACCCAATTTCTCCTACGACTAATTCTACTACCCGGACTACAAAATGAGCAATGCTGATGTTAGACTCAGAGTAATAGGGAGGGATAGTGAATCCTTATCGACTAAGATGGTTGGAACATGTATTACATACATAAAATCACCGTCCGCATTGACGAGTGATGATAGCTGGTATAGGAGGAAGTCGAAAGAAAGCTTGAGGTGCTCAAACCAAAACTTGAAATCAGTCCATGAATTTATTGACTGTTGGACCGAGCTATGTAAGTACATGCAGATAACATGTTGAGTTCCACACGATTATAGTAACCAATGGCTAAAGACTTTGGGTGATGGATAGAAATCTATTACTATGGTTCAGATGCATTCACTTTTTGCCCTTCTTTAGATTATAAGTTTCCTAATAATCTTTGCAGTAAAAATGTGTTCTAAAAATCCATCTTTCTCTAGTCATATTTTTGATAGCTAATCTTTTCTGCTACTACTGATACTATTACTACTCATACTGTTCTGACACATAATTGTGCTGATATAATGTGACAACTTGAACCAATGCACATTGTATCACGTTCTGCTTAGAGTATAAGTCACTAAATAACTAACTACCCGCATATTTCGTGAGTACTCATATGATAACAAATTATAAATAAACAGTTAATCATTTACAACATAATTTTGACTTACTTTTGACAGTCCATATTCATTTATAGTTGCATGTTCATGTAGAATGGTATTGACATTTCTAAATACAAAACCCATTTGCCAGTTTTTTAAATAACTTACTTATCAGTAAGAACGCCACGTGTTAATACATCGTCCGTAACAGAAGATACAAATTTCAAATAGTTGACTTCATTCTTTCTGTTTGTGTATGTTTGTTTTATTTTGAAGAAAGAATCAAAGACAAAAACAATAATGTCTTGATGTTAATTAAACTTGGGAATTGATTATCACATAACTCAAAAAGTAAGTGAAATAATCAATCGCGGCTTGCTTGAAAATCTGGGCTATCTGTTCCTGCCATCTAGATATTTCAACAAGTTATCTAATTTTGTGAGTTTTCGAAAAGTGTACAACCTTTGATTGTACAAGTTACAAAAGAACCAATCAGAGATATCGTGGTTGTTGGTAATATACAGCGAAAAGAATGTACATTATTTAGATGTCGATTGACTGGTCTGCCAACTTCTAACTGGCGATCACTCAATATTTATCGTCAGGATCAACCAAGAAGTAAGGAACGAAAATTTGTAGAAATACTTTGTGCTGAGAATTCTATGTTTTACCAAAAATATAATATTGAATAAAGTTAATAATCATACGAAGAAGAAGTTTTACTGAAGTTTATTTCTTATTAAGCTGTAGTATTGTCCATTATAATGATGAATATTGATCTTGAAGAAAAATTTTGTTTTTACAAAAAAAATTTGAAATGATAATTCACTTAATTATACTATAGAAAGTTGTTAAAATCCATACCTGAACTTACTAACTAGATAAATCTTTCATTATCCAATAAAAAGGAAACGATATTTAGTCCAACATACATCAGTGGAGCACTGAACAAATACTTTGTTCTAGTTTGGCACTTATCAACAGTATCTATCCGTGACCCACTCTGAGTCTAGTATTAATGGATGATACAACAAATCTACTGGTTCATATTTTCAACTTCACCGAATTCCCGATTTTGTTTGGTTGTTATTTGAAATCTGTGAATTACTGTCTTACTTCCAATAGTGTTTAACTCTTTAGGTAACGGATTTTAATGTTAATCTATGTACATAGACCTTTAGTAATTGGACAATTCCCACGGATCTATTTTTCGCAGAAATGTTGTGAATAATAGTGATAAATATGATTATTTTATTCGCATCGGTCTAGTACCGAAGATCTTTTCCGAATATAACACATATTAGTAAATTGAAAAAAATGAACATTAAGTTACCAAATTTCCTGATGTGTTCTTGATTCAAAATGTCCAGTTTGTAATACATTTAGTCGATGCATTTTTCTTTACCATACAGTTTGAACTAATTTATGCGGGGGGATACGTAATTAACTATCCGTCAGATATTACACTTTAAACAGTAGATCATCCAAGTTTCTATCCATGAAACTTATGATTAAAGTGGTTATGATGAAGAACTTTGTCATCTTTGCGAGTTACAGACTGTTATAGTAAAGTCTGAAAACAAAGAGTTCTTTTTTTATATATGAGATATTTTCATTTATCTGACGAGAGATCATGATTTTGGTTCTAAGTAAACTTGAATAAAAGTATGAGTCGGTTGATAAGCTGACTAATCTCCTAGAAATTTTATTCATTTATTTAACATCATTAACTATCATTTATATTTCATTTTTATTTCACAATTAACTCTATCATTTGTAATTCAAAATAACTGGGTATTCAATAAATGAGAAATTGTAGTTCCAAAAAAAAAGAAAAATAGAGATTAAGACTTTAGTTCAGTTAAACGTTTGTAAATATGAAGTAACTCGGAAAACCGACGTTTCTTAAATACTCATAATGAAGAATTTCGCTTACATTTTTCAAGTTTTAAAAACAACGATTTAACGTGAGTGTATTATTCTAAATTTTAACGTTGTATGTATGTGTTTATTTGTATTTAGCTATGGGGAATAAATTACCTTACCAGAAGAATCCTTTAGTTGTAGTGAAAACGTTTTTCTTTTATTTTTGCTATTTTATCACCAAAGATTTAATTAATTTTATGTTAAATAAACTGTAAACGATAGTTATTTCTTTCACTAATAAAAAGTGTTCACATCTCAAAGCACATTATTCGAAAATTGAGACTGAGGCAGACATACCTTCAATAGTTCTCTTACCTGTTACCTACTTGACAATAAACATGACGCTGAGATTTTAAAATCACTTAAAATTATTGTTGAAAAAACGATTGCAAACTTATTACCTTTAACCGAAGTTATCGTCATCAAATGTCTTAAAGTGGATTTATGTAATTTAAAGGTTAATGATAGTCACTCATGTATTGCCTGGTGATCTCAGTTTTCAACGTATAGTAAACATAAACATTTCCGTCATATATTCTTGCATTCCATCTGAACTTGACTCAATTTAATTTTTTTAATCAATCCTTTTTATGATTATTATTATTAAACTTTTAATACAGTTTTTTAATAATCTGTCCCATACGGTTTATAAGATTTTTTCTAGAATTTTCAGATTGCTTAATATGGACATATTCAACTACTCAAACATCTTTTCTATATTTATTATTATTTTATAAGGTGATGATTGGAGTTATTCGCCAGGAAACCCTGCTTGACCCAGGTTTCGTGCTGTTTGGGACTCGTCAGAAGAATGTTCCTGTAACCCTGATGAAACTAATTCCTCCTGACGGTTTTGATCCCGTGTCACCCAGCTTCATAGCCAGAGAAATTTCAATTGAGCATCCAGCCCCTAGCTGACCATCTGTAGGATTGAGATGTATTCACAACCGATTGATCATTTAGTAGTGACTAATGTCATGTATGTCTAGTCCTTCTTGGTGCTAACCATAGTCCATCTATTAAGTTTAATTGTGTCCACTAATCTAGGCAACTAACATAAGCAGCCTGAATATCTCACCAGTCACGTCTCTGACTGTGAACCTTGGTAACACGGGATCGAATCATTCAGGGAGCAACAGTCATGTCAAGATTACAGGCACACTTTGCTGACGAATATGAAATAACATAAAACCTAAGTTAAGCAGAGTTTCCTGTAAACTACCTTACATCTCAACATAGTGCGCCCGAAGTCAAGTCTCTTAAACTAGTAGCAACATTGGGACTTGATCGGTGGAATTTAATCAGCACTAAGTGGAACTAGATATACATGACATTAGTCACTAATCAGTGATCAATCAACTGTAAATATTACTGTTTGGTTAATCTTAATAGATGAGAATATTTCTGATATCATGATATCAAGTATGTAAACTGTCTTATTTGTAATCACTTGGTACTAATAATTCAAGATTGCAAGCAGATAAAGAGAAAACACAAAATAAGATGAATTCAGTTACATTCATTTTTCTTGTTCAATTGAACAAAATACTAAATAAATTAATCAGGTTTTTTGAACTACGAGAACACTTTCTTGTAATAAATTACCATTCATAAATTAACATACTAAAATTTCTTCATTTTTTGCATTTCTTTGAAATTTACATTGAAATGGAAATAAATTTTATGATTTATGAAGTTGAAAAAACTAATTTAATTATATGTAAGTTGGTTCGGGATAAATGAACAAGCTAAGTATGTATCTCTTTTGGGTGCATAGATCTGAATTCAGTTACTCGATACTAATTACTTTGACTAGATAAATGACGTGTAATACTACACCATTTGATAAATTAGTTGGAACTCGATATTGTATTCATTGTCTATCAAATAACAAAAAACAATACAATTCATATACTTGAAAGCTTGTGTTCCTAATCAAGGTGGTACGTACTCGCAAGCATTTAATGGTAAATGCTTCTAAATGACTAGCTTCAGGGAGGGGGGAATAGTTAAATAGTTAAGCATACAATTAAGAGAGACCTTCGCTAGTACATTTTCCAGAATTAATTATGTCAATATATTTTTGTGTTAAAGAGAAATGTCAGTCAGTCTTGAGTGCTGTTTGAGATGTGAGGGCGGTTATCACTTCCCGGTTGCCCACATCGTGGGAGGGTTCTTCTGGAGGTACCTGAAAAGAAAATTTGATTAGAGGTGGTCATAGTGACCTGAGAGCGTGATCTCAGTGCCCAAGAGACAGCTACTTGAGGTCGGTCACACACGACCTTTTTATGAGTAGTTTTTGTGTTAGCTCCGTAATTGTTGAGACCTTACCGCCGAAGACGGATATCCGTGGGATAAGGCGAGGTGTGACACTTTTAGGGTCGACCTTCTCTAACCCTACCCCCCTTGTGGGAAGGCAGCATCGCTGTTATGCTGGTTGTCTGAAGGAATCACGTTACTGCTGTCACACTTCTGTACAGTCAGCAGTACGACTTCGCCTTCGAACCTTGGATTTGTTGCTTTGAGTCTTACAGCTCTTCAACCAACCTGTCTGGCATGGTAGGACCTTGAGTAACGGTTGTTCCAGCCAGTATAGCTCAGTTGCTTCATCACGATAGGCAAGCCCGACCACCACGTTAAGGTAGCAACAACAAATTAACGTTCCTTAAACAGATCTATTTAATTCAATGAAACTACAATAAAAGTAGTATCAAGCTGAACTCTAGCAAAATACTCATCTATTTTGTAAAAATGACTTGGAAAGTTGTTATACATTGTGACATTTTTTAAAACTATGACAAGCTTAAATTCGATATTTTACAAATAAATACTAAAATATATTGAAAATTTACAAAGTTTAATCCAGGATTATAAAAAGTAAACTGAATATTTAACAGAATAAAACAGTATTATTTCAAACAAACTAAGCATATATGTGATCAGACTGTTCTAAATGTATTGACTAAATATATTACATAATCCTGATAACTTTCATTATCTCATTTGATTATCGAAACTGAGCATAGATAATTTTCTTTATCATTCAATAGCAACAATATAGCATAACGTCTTTCTGAAGGTTGAATATTTACAAAAATGAAAATTGATTATATTCAAAGAATCTAAAGATGTTAAGTTGATAAAATCATATGAATGTCAGAGGATCGTTACAACATTTGATCATTAAAAGAGATAGTATATATTGGAAATATTTAAGTAAAAATCAAATTGTATCAAAGAAAACAAAATCTTATTGTCAGTTTTAAGCTAAATGATCTAAAATATCTCTGAAAGTTATATGTTTATTTAATAATTACGGCTCTGTTGATAAACAAACGATCATGTCAAGATAATCTGAGTGGAAAGATAACTAAGTAACGTATGTGTCCTAAAATATGTACCTTTCCAATTTTCTTTATGAGAAAGTTGTATTATTATTTCAGTCAGTACCATCAAAATAGCCTATTTTAGCAACATAAATATTCTCATTGTGAATAAAATATAATGATGATTCACTGATATCCATTTCCTAATTCATGTTTAATACAGTGCGTCTTTTTATAAAAACTTATGCTTAATTATTCATTCATAGTTTGATAAAGTTAAACTACGGACACATAGTGTCATTACACTTTTTGTCCATTAGGGTATTAAATCTCGACACATTTGTCTGATATTTATCCCTAAATATATACATCAGCATCATCTAGACAATATAAAAAGCCTTATAAGCAAAGATGAATGGTGGCTAGTAGTTAAATCTAGGATGCGCATTTCATCATATTCAGGACTCGTTAGCTGGATGTACCTGCATCTCACAGTTGGTGTTCATTATGGGACTCGAAACTAGCATCGTCAACCTCAAACGCTTACTCGTTATCCACGTAGCTACTGAGTCCCCATTGTCACCTGCTTGTGCAATATGGTGGAGTTTAAATTCAACTGTATCTTCCCAATGTTATTTAGGACTTTAATTGATCGGTCTCGTGTTGGTATATATGCATTCGAGTCCTGGAGTGAACATCAACTCTGGGATGCAGGTACATCCAGCTGACGAGTCCCAAATAGAACGAAATGCACATCCTGGATTCCACTGCTAGTCACCATCTATCTTTACTTAAAAAGCTTGTGACTTAAAGCTATATCGATGCAATCCACACAGAATACACAAATGCCAATGAGTGACTGATCGATTGTAGTCCTAAATAACAATGGGAAGATAGAAGTAAACAATACCAAATGAATTTAATATAAAAAGCTGGATAAAACTTATGCTAGAAAGCAACAAGTTAAACAGTTTATTAATTCCATTTGTATGATCTTGAGTGACTTTCCCTTTGTATGCAATATTTTCACATATGTTGGTAGAGTTACATCTAGTTTTATGACATTATTTAATATGATGCCAATCTTAGTATGTTTATTGTAATTATTGATATTTGTCAATGAAATAAACTATAGACATTTGACGTGTTAATTTTTGATAGACCACGTTATACTACTGGAAGTAAGCAAACTATTCATTCTAAATTTTGTATTAAAAATATTGGATACAGAATACTGTGAAAGAACAGAATGATGCTTAGTTTCTCACTTTATGTAATCCTTTAATTGTAAATTTTAAATAGGTTGAGCTGTCAGATTAAAGTTCACAGAAACATTAAAAGAACTAAAACGTTTTTAAAAATGTTTCATGAATTAAGTCCACTTAAATTCACCTCATTATTTCTAACAATAAATAAATAATCACATTTTTTGAATGTTTACAGTTGTAATCAAAGTGTACCAAAGTTCTTTATTGTTGATGAATTAAAACTAGAAGAAAAATACCTCGGATTTGAAAATTTCTGAAGAAATCGCACGTTTTGGATGATGATCAGCAAAAATAAGAAGTGAATACAACTATTTATGATTTTAAGGGATAGAAAGCAAAAACCACTTACAAATTTTCAATTGATGCTTCATTCCCAGTTGGTTTATTCAGCATTTGTTTAACTGTATCATCTGTATAAACGTTTTTCTCTGTAAACGACTTTTCCAGTTTCTCTTCATCACATTGCGTGGATGTAGCAATCTAAGAAAGAGTATACCAAAGAAATAAGTTAAAGGCGAATTGAAATATGGTTTCTCTGGACTAAACATAATGACTATCATTCTAAAAAGACAAACAAGCCAACAATCAATTCATCAAAATTAATATATACTGATGTATTTTGGGTTTATTTAGAATACAGATTAATTTTGTTGAAAAACAGGGAACTTTGACAATGAAACTTCTTTGATATCCATCATAGAAAAGTATTTTCATTGACCACAAAAATTCATCTGATTTAGTCTAAACTATTTTCTATATTTTTTACATATCAGCATTTTTTACAATCACAGTTAGCTTAAATGTTATATATTAAATGTAAGAACGAATCATATTAGAACACAGATATATGGAAAGAATATTCTTCGTCCATATATTTGTGTTTTAATATAATGCGAATATTTTGGCAATTAAAATCACATTTGGTCAACATATCTGAAAGTTCCACTGATTGTTCATTACATCAGTTTCCTTACATAATCGTCTATAACTTCAGTTGTTACTTCCGTTTTTGGTAGAAAATCCATCATACTGAACTAATTAATAACTTTTCAATTAATTTGATAAAGATTTTATTTTCAAATTGGTTGATCATTGAGTAATGACCAATCTCATGTTTGTCTGGTCCTTAGTGGCGATTAAATCTGTCAGACCAAGTTGAGGTGTGACCATTAGTCTAAGTGACTCGACACTGTGTGTACCAAGTTTTGATGTAAAACAGTTAGAAATGGCCTTTATAACCCAGTGCTGACGTCTCAGACTGTGAAACTAGGCAACCCAAGTTCGAATTCACCAGGGAGCATCAGTCCCTTCAAGGTTGCCTAAACCCTTTGGTAATGAGTCCCAACTAGCAAAATCCAGGAACATGTGAAGATATAGTTTCCTGCTGATTTACTTCAACCGCATAACATCAAGACAGCGCACCCAGTGTCCAGCCACTTAGACTAATGGTTACATCGCAACTTCGTTGAATGTGTTCAGTCATTACTAAGGAATAGAAAAAAATGACACTGATCACTATTCAGTGGTCAGTCAATCTAAATTTTAATTATTATTGATAGCCATAAGCTTGATGTATCTGAATATTAGTAAATGTTTTAAATGAAATCAGTCACTGATGGAAGTAGGATATCCTACCTCAGCTGATTTTTATCTGCTGTTTTTTGGGATTACAGAACATAAAATGGCACGCAGATAAATGAAAACACTCAATACTATGGCATAGGGATTTACCTGCCCTGCATAAATAATCAACTTTCATAGGATATATATATATGAAACTTTGAAGCACATTTAATGTTTGATATGAAGTTTACCCTTCTAGCTCTTCGTATGAGAGAATAGTACTATCGAGGTTATCCATCCAGATTCAGTTAATTTAATCGGGATTAAAACTTTGATACATATGTGTAACACTTTTAATTGTAATAAAAACTGCCACTTGACAAGAAAATAAATAATATAACATGATATAAGTTTTGGAAACTATAGGAAAATAAACGTCTGATGAGTAAAAGTAGAAATTTTATGTAGACGTCTCAATATGAAATATTTTCAGATCTGCAATCGGATCTACAATTATTCTACCATCTAATTATATCACAAATTATGAAATGAATCCAATTAGTGCCCAGTAACTGTTTAAGTCTAATATCTCATTATATGAACTATCCTCATATTATGAATAGAATTGTTAACCGAAAAATAGCCCTTTCATAAACAGGAATTGAAAGTATAAACATATGTAAATATTACCTCTGGTTTATGGACTGTACTATTACCAGGTAGTGTGTTTAGCCACTGTTTAACTTTACCAAAATTATGCAGTCCACCAATATACTCAGTAGGCATCGATTGATTTTGTCGATTTCTTCGTGAAATACGTTTGTTATGAGAAGATGACAGGATATGTTTAGATGAATAATTAGATATTCTCTTGTTTAAATGAGAGAAAGTGGTTTCTCCTCTATCTGTATTCGATTCTTCATGTTTCGTATTGTTAATTGCCTCCATATCTGATATTTTGTAAAGCATAAAAGTACGTTATATTGAATGAAAATGGCATTTCAACCTATCAATAAGCAATCTAAACACATAAATTTTATTCATACAGCATTAGTATCAATGTGTTAATATGCTGCGAAAAAGAAATAAGTTAAAAGATTCTTTAAAATAAACAAAATACATTGTACATTATTAAACCTTAAAAAGCATTAATTTACTTCAAACGAATTTCTGTAAATATTTCTTTGATCCAAATCTAATGAAGGAATTTTTAACGTTATATTCAAAATACTGAAAGTTTGGAGTAATTCAACTTTATATTTAACGGGTACAGGCAACGAGTATGGGGCTTTAGAAATGACCTTCACACCCAACAAAAATATAGCGTTTTTGACTTACCAGTGTAAGTAGTCATAACTTAGCGACCAACCCTTCATATATTTTATCCGTTTGCGAATCCTACTTAGTAGCTTGGCAGATTAAATAATCACATCAAGTCATTACAATGTGAATGAAGTCGATAGAATTTGATCATCAATAGATTAACTAAAATAGTAGCGGTGGTGAGGTCGAGGATGCACGCTTCTGGGGGGTCCTACACTAGGACAAAGTGGCCGTTCACTGCTTCCAGGTTCTCAGTGATAGTCTGACTTATACCGGTTCACGATTTCAATGAAACGCAACAGTCTCCACAACTCCAAACTGTAAAACGATACTGATCAATAATTTTTAAGATCAGCATGAGTTTGAAGGATATGATCCTTGGCATTAGAAACGCACTTAACAATATTAATGATGGTTGGTGTTGTAAATTAATACTAAAACATGTTAAACAGACGATGCAAAAGCATATATAGGATTTTATCGGGCATTGCCTATAATAGCGTTGTCACTGCTGATGAAAAGTTGTCTTTCGTGTGTTGGGAAATTCTAATAGCTCATTTATTTATGAAACATATGTCAATGACAGTCTGGTAAAATAATGCGAGCCTTGCATGTAAACTTATATGCCTTTGCAAAAACAGATCCTCGAAAAGAACTGAACGTTGAAACGATCATTCCTTAGTTTTAGAGGTGTTATGACCTAGTCTACAATAATGTGGAATGTAAAAGTAAAACAATCAACTGATATAATTATTTTCAATCAAGTTATGTGCAAACCGATTTTGATTACTTAAATTTAGCTAAATGATGTTTTTAAATCTATTTATTCGAATTAGAAAATTTATGAATATAAATGAATTCTTTCCATCCTACCCTTGCTAATATTCAGGACTGAAATGATCAACCCCTGCTTTAATAACTACTCTGACTAAGTTGTCTAAAGCATAAAGTTTAGAGTGATGGGTACTTCATTTGAATCTCAATAGAAGCATCAACATGGTAGCCCAGATTATATTAAAGCACTAACTTAGGTTAACATTATGAATCACCTGATTCCCCCTCAGTAGCCAAATAATGGTGTACTCACTTCAGGACCCACAGTTTTTAAGCTCAACAACGTTTGAAGTATGGTCGCTCAATACTGAATAGTTTCAATCTCATAAGAAATACCTGCTCAGTACTCCCTAGTTGTCAAGAACCACAAGCTAGTGTTAGATTTTCATAAAACGTTTTCAATGAATATCTTTGAAAACACAAGTAGCATATATTATTGAATACAGACTGAACAAAACCGCATTTATTTAGATACGAAATCAATAGAAATCAGCCCTTTATTTAGCTTACTTTTGTACCAACAACTCATCATTAAATTTATGTATCATAAACAAATGTTTGTAAGGAAAGAAAAAGGCTAGTAAATTACCTGAATTTGTTGTACAGGTTCCGGCTGGTTTTTTGAAGTGTATCACAGGTTTAACATCCAAAAGAACTTTTGAATCAGACTGATGACGACTAATTCTTTTAGGTGGATTGTAACACCGCAAACCAATAAGTTTGGATGAGAAATTTGATTTCATTGTTCTTGGAGAAAATGGTTTAGGACTAGTAAACTTATCCCGGTGGATATCTAAAACATCAGTGCTCAATGATTGCCTTCGATGAACAGTCTATAAATATATTTTTATTTGTTGTAAAGAAAATTAACAATTGCAAACCAATTATTGCTTTAATGAGTTAAACTGTCATACAAATGGCAATTATCGCTACTAATTAAAATTTAAAATGTCTATATGCATTCCATACCTCTAATATTATTCGGATTTTAATTATATGTGTAACAATTCAATGCTAACAATACCATATATTTACTTGCCATTTGATATAGCTTTAAATCAGTAACTGTGGTGGATTCACTGTTTATTCTCCTCAAAAAACCCTGAAACAGTGATCAAAAGATGTTCAGAAACTCTCCAATAAAAATTTAAAACCCAGATTCAGTATATGTATCAAACCATATTTAAAGTCTTCTGGGGATAAACGCAGTGGTTAGCTTCACAGAAAAATTGAAGACTCAGACTTAATTTTACACTTCATATACAACATAAGTTTAGTCCAGGATAATGAAGATGACTACGGTGAGAAATTACTAGATTTTAACCAAGATTATATTTCAAAATATGGAATATAGGATTACTCATATGACCAAGATCTTAAATAATGCATAGTTTAAGGGAGCTTTCATCAATTTTGCGGATAAGTAAACCAGAAAATAACGTCCAAGCAAAACACGTGGTTCATAAGAACAATGTATTTGAAACAAATAGATCAAATCAAAACTTCATAAGATTTGCAAAGAATAAACTTAAATCAACTATATGTAATAGTAGGAATATTTTGGCAACATTGACTTTAATTTCTATATTAAAAGTAATGTGATAAACTTTGCTTTTTCCTTGTGCCTCTAGTTGCCGTCCTGTCTCTCATTGTTCCAGCTGATGGTTCTGATTTAAGATATCTTGATAAGTTAAGAAGTAATCAAACTGAGCAAAACGTACTCGAATAATCATATCATTTCGTTTTCTTACTGAACTGTTCAAACAAAGTTGTAACATTGGTATTTTACCGATCTTGAAATACTTTGCATGATGGTATCTTGTAGTAAATGCTTAAAAATATATCGTTCGTACCAATCGATAGTTTCTTTGAACATGATTCTTTGTCTCGTCCAAATTTTAAACAAATACGTCCGATTGTTCTCACTGGGTTCTGTTTGACTTGCACACTGGCCAATACGTGACTACTGGAGCGCGAACTGAACAGTTTTTGGAATTACTTGTTAGCGTGCTAAATTCTTTTACCCTTGATTTATCACACAAAATCATCTACAAACTGTAACCCTTTAATTAACACCTAGCAAGATAAGTAATATTTTCAAAACTATGTACTGTGTACAGTAAATCTTGACTATCAAGATCTTATTGATTGGACAATGACAGTCACAAAATACCACATAATTTCCACTATGCTCATCAAAAGCACATTTTTGCAACCGAAAGAATTTGAACATATGTCCGCTAAAACATAAAAGTCACAAAAATATTTACGTCTACACGGAGTAGTGTCTTTATGCAATTCCATACAACACAAAAGACGGAAAATATCTCCAGAAATTACGCATATTAGTTTGCGATCTAGGGGAACAATTAACGAGTATCTTACATTTATACAATAATTGGTTTGTGGACAAATTTATGTAAGAAGTCAAGAGAGCACACTATAAATATAAATAAGTTTAACCTGTATAGGATACATGCACTAAATTCAAAGGTTTCGAAACCTAAACATTTTTGTCATGGATTAACAAAAACGGAGGACAAATAAAAATGTTCTTCTTTGCACTGGAAAGAGAATTTATACTGACTTTGGTGCTAAAGCAATCTATATCCAACTTTCGTAAGATTATAGGTTCTCCATCTGAACAATCACATTTCTCGCATGTATTTTTATTGCCAACAACTTCCGAATGATGCTCATCTAATCCCATTGGTTCCATAGGTTTATCGTTACTATCAAGGACAAATTTTCTCACAATTCTATCAACTTCAGGATCATCTGAAAATGTATTTATCTAACAATATATCGCAAAACTGAAAAATATTACAGCGTTCAGATTGCAGAGACTATTTGATTCCGGTCTGGTTGAAAAGGATCTTCTACCAGCTCCTCTGTATGACTTCAGATAACCCTTGGCTGGAACGTGAAAAGTAAAGTGAACTCACTGGTTGGATTGTGTGAAAATGAATAAGGTGCCGTATTGTCGACATAGGCTTTGGAAAGCTGTATTATAGGTAAAAATTTACCTTTTACGGACTGAATATTTCTGTAATGAGCATTCAAATGCTGTTTAATTAGGATCTTTGAAGACACTTTACATTTTCTTGGGAAAATCTCTATGAATTCGAAAGCTAGTAATTTGCATAAATCAACATACCATGATGAAAAAGCTTTAGCTTGGTGTTATTACGATAATTAATTTCGGGATTCCACATAAAGGATTTATATGGAGCGCAGAAACAGTATCTTTCACAATATCCACAGACGCCGAGCTTGATTGACTTAAACACGCTGATAACGATACCACAGAAATAAATAAAACAGCTTTTCACTCACTGTTCTTGGTTTAAAATGCAAATTCGTTCATTTCTAAGGCTGCATTTATATTATGAACCCCCCATATTCTGTTCGTGAAATTGTTATATATTTCTATTTATTTTCGAAATACGGTTGGAGTGGGTTTTCTTGAGCACACAACATATTTCTATAAATGGAGCTCTTTCGGAATATTCCATCGCTGATTAACTACTTACGGGTGCCTCAGAAAATGTATGGATACTCTTGAGCACGCTATGGCTGTTCATCCCGCTAACATGTTATAAATGCATAGCATTCATATTCTGCCCGATTTTGTGATAAGAAAGGTCTGAAGCTTGATATGGAGTTTTGATGGCGAAAATTTTGGAAAAGGATATTCCAAGATTAGGAAAGTAGTACCAACTGTCAGTTAAAACGTTCTGTGATAATCAACAAATCTTTACTGACAAAACTGTCGGGGAAGAGAGGACTGTTCATTGATATACTCAAATAGAGGAAAGCATTGAGGAAGTAGTACTTATGCATTCTGTTTAGGTTTTGTTTACATTATCTCCAGTTAACCAAGACCCTTGATGACTGATTCCAGAGTGGAGATAAGTTGTTAGTCTGTGAGATTCCCGTTTTAGTATATTCATGGTAAACGATGGTACGATTTCACCTAATTTTATTGTTGGTTTAGACTAATGAGGTCTCAACCTCAACAATTACTGACTTTCTTTAAATCTACTATGAATTCTGCCGATATTCATGGGTGTCAAAATGTTGGGGTGCATCAACATAGCGATTTCAAACGGGGAACATAGACTTGGAGATGAAATTCATTTAAGTTTTTGGAACCACACGAATATTGTATGTTGTTTGACTCGCCGTGGTACGAATCTTATACTCAAAATGTTCTATGAGTTCCAAAAGTTTAGCACAACTAGATTAATTGGGTCGGAATTAAACACATCAGTATAACTGGTTGATCTGACTTCATATCATACATTTTTTTTCGTTGCTATAAAAAGATAAAGTAATGTTCATCTTACCGTTGGTTTAAAAATACTTCATATAATTACAGATTGTATATATACTCATTCTGTGTATACACGTTTGCAGTTATCGATTGGTTTTGAGTTTTCAGGAGAATCTTGTTAAAATATTGTGTACCGGGAATTCCGCACTGTTCTAAACATTGGTAATGGATAAAGCGACCGATAAAAGTAATAAATACAATAATTAGATATTTTGGTTTAAAATGCTGAATGTTCTTAAATTTCATGACTGAACATGGGTAGTATCTGTTTCCTATTTTACATGTAGAACTGATCTACATAGCATGTACAAAGGTGAATTGTGGACTGTGAAAAGCATAGAGGAATTTGTAAGTAAGTCTTGTGTGTTTTATATGCATTGTAAGACGTTCTCGAGGTAAATCTCTGAATTGAACTCTTTAGGCAACATCATATGAAGAGAAATAAGCTATAAAAATCATGGTAATCTAGCTTATATAAATGTGCATGTAAACTTACAAATACTATGCACTTGTCTGAAAATCAGTCTCAAGGTATGAGTAAGATTTCCAGAAATAAAATACTATGATCGGATGAAAAATGAGTTATCTCATATGTAATATATTTCATGTGCATTAATATATGATGGTCATTGAAAATTTATTGATATTAGATATTTCAGTGTGCCGACGTTCTGTTTCAGTTTTCACAGCATTCACAACGACATCGGTGAATTTCAAATTTGGTTTAGGGAATAACATGTCGTTTAGTTTAGTAATGTAATTGCACTTAAGTTGAGATACTGAAGAAACAAGATTTTTAAAGGATGTGACAGAAATGTTATTTTTAGTATTATGATAAATTTTGATTAGAAGATTGATTCTACGTAAGAATACATTGGTACTATTTGTTTGTTCAAAAGCGAACTGCCATTTACTCAGCGTCTCACACGTGACTGGATAGGAGACAACTTAGGAGAAATCATATGAGTGTACCGTGGGGTCGAGTCACGACTGACTATGAACATTACATGAAGACTACGTGCCAGTTAACCAATAAGATCCCCGTAGGTCGATATCAGAAGGCAGATGATGGCTGCAGTCGAGATGTATTTGCTGGCGACCTCGTGGTATCGAAAGATTACCGAGATCGTGCCAAAGGAGTACAAACGTGATTACTAAGCGTAACCGAATTCGTTCAAGTTCAAAGTCAATGGGGGAGTAATATCTGTCATTAGCACAGTTAAGCAAACGAGCACAGCAAAACAATCACTGGTGCAATTGATTTTAATAATAATTGTTTTCATTAAACCAATCGCGTTCTGTTGGCAGAAGTTGGTCACTACATGTGTAAGAACTATTCGAAAGAAATGACTCAAGAAGCAAGTCAAGCGGTTGATATTAAAGTGTTTTAAAAACTTTGGTGTGACCTACAAAAAATTATTCAGGCGTCACGTAATTTTTTTAATCTTTTGACTCTCCGTATGATGAGAATCAGACCAGGTTTACCGACTGAATATGCTTATTTGATGATGGCTAGCTAGGCATTGATTGTTGACATTAAACTCTATCGTAAGCAGTAAAATCTAGTAAGTAACGTGCATTTCTCATCAAGCCTATCTTATATTTTCGTGACGGTCAGAATCCACGACATTATGGGTGAAGATGCAAATGAATGTATTGTACGTAACACTTGATTAAGTTAAAACCACAAATCAAAGTTCCGGTGAAGTATTTCTTGGTCTCTTCAGTATGAATGTGGTTCTAGAAACCTGATTAATAGAACAAAATTTGAAGAGCTGCTAACAATTTTCCAATACGAAAGTATATAACCGAGAAATTGGTGCAAAGTACACAATTTTTAATTGACTTGGGCCGCTTGACGTTCGGATAATCTGACTGCCTTGAGACCAGATTTGTAAGAAAAGCCTATTACCGCGTCGATGAACAAGAATAAAGTCCATAATATAATAGTATACATTTCTGACAGAGCGGGTACGCATCAGCTACCTAACCATCCAACTCTACCTTTCACTCTTAAAAATACTTCTTTCACCAAACTAACCTCCAAATACCTTTCTCGCATTAAGCCTATTGGTAATAAACTAAACGCTCATCAATATGGAATCGACACTCCCAATTCTTCTTTAGCACATGGCGAAACGGACGATCCACTGGGTTTGCATCATACCTCTACTGGACAAACACTCACCGTACCTGACACTTATGTCAGTCAACGCTCGATCTGTGCAAAGTAAGATGACACACCTACGCACCCTATTACTTTTAAACAACCCCTCACTTGTTTTGATAACGGAAAGTTGGCTGTCCTCCGACATCACAGACACATCTACAAATAGATATCTATGAGCTCTTCTGCTGCGACCGAGTCACCAAGAAGGGTGGTGGTTGTCTTGTCTATGTATCAAAAAATCTGAGAGCGGAAATCTATATCGACCACGTCGTCGTCAAACTTCCTGATTCGATATGGCTCACTGTGTACACTCATGAATGTAAAATACTAATCGGATGCATATATTGAGCTCCTAACACTGCTAGTTCAACTGACACTATTATAAGTGAGTCATTTGCTCAGGCTGCCTCGCTTGACTTCACTTACAAAATTGTATGTGGTGATTTCAACTTTCCCACCATCAACTGGACGCCACATCCTGACCCATTGTGCTTTGAACGCATACATATCCGGAAACCTGGAAGGTAACGTATGTTCTTCCCAAACACAAATCCCGACTGAGAAGCCTGGTCGAAAACTACAGACTTATAAATATCACTCCAGTTATATCACGCATAATGGAAAAAGTGATAAAAAATCAACTATCTGATCACCTACTTGAGGAAGATCCAATAGACCCGTCACAACACGGCTTCATTAGAACAAGGTCGTGCAGACCGTGTCTGATAGACTTCTTTAACGAGGTTACTCGCATACTTGACCAGGAGAAACTAGTGGTTATACTATATTTCGATATTATGAAAGGCTTTGATAAAGTACCTCATAATCTCCTAATCAAAAGACTTGAGTAAGTTGGAATTATAAATCCTCTTTTGCAACGATCAAGTCTTTTCTCACAAGCAGATACCAAATAACCAAGATTGAATCTACAACATCTACACCTCGAACAATATCCAGTGGTGCTGGCAGGGTAGTGTCTTGGGTCCATCGATCTTTATAATCTACATCAACAATATGTGCAAGTGCTTTAGCACAGGTAAGACCTACCTCTATGCCATTGACTTAAAAGTCATCTATAAAACCGACATTTGCGATGTACGTAGTACTATGCAAACAATCCGACATGAACTGAACATGGTAGACGACTGGTGCAAACGCTGGAGGTTAGAGCTCAACACAAAGTGGTGCGGCTGGTTATGTATAGGGGACATGTCTCTCAGAATAAAACTAACACTTAGCAACAACACACTGCCGAAACTGGCATTAGTAACTGACCTAGGGGTAAATTACTCACACAGTCTTAATTTCTCTAAACACATCTCAGCCAAAGCATCTAAAATGCGGAAATTGCTTGGATTTACCCTCCGTAATTTCCATCAAAATGAATCTAAAATCCTTCTTTATAAAGTTTGTGTAAGACCTATCGCTGAATACTGCTCGTTATTATTTTACAACCTACGCCTATCTGATATACTAAAGGTGGAAGGAATACAACGAGATTTCACTCGCAAAATACTTAAGACTGAATCTGCCATTGACTACAGTTCCCGATGCCAAATCTTAGGAATAGAACCCCTTTGGAAGAGAAGGCTTGGGTCCAAATTGATTATCTACTTCAAACTACTCGAAAACCTTACTTATTCAACATATAAGATAGTAATTGCCCGAGATTCACATGAATACGAACTTCGAAACAAAGTATCTACTGTCAAGGTTGAGAAATCCAGATCGAAATCTCGGGAAAACT